GCTCCAGGGGTCCTGAGGCCTCTCACACTGTGGTGGGGAGGGCAGGTCAGGCAGCCCTTTTCGGGGGTGGGTCGCCCTACAGTGCAGTGCACCGCCTCCCGGTGGTCTTACCTTTGTTTCTCTAGCTCTGGCAATTTCCCAGCAGTGAGGGAAAAAGCCAGCCCCAAGTATGGTATATGTTGTCACCCAGCAAGTCTCCACGAGAGCCAGATCATTTCTAAACTGGTGTTTGAAAGAAGATTTTTAAGACAGACAATAAGGGCCTGTGAGTCCTTCCGATTCAACTAATCTCACCACCAGAGTCAGCTGTGTGTTTGTGGTTTTCAGTCTCTGTGTTGTAAACAGGTTGAGAACAGGGCCCAGGTCCTGGCCATTGTACCCCCCAGTCTTCTTCTCAGACATTTCCTGGGGATCCTCATGGGGCTGGGCTGGACCCAGGGCTGGGGTGTGGCGACGAGAGAGTGTGTCCTTGGGAAGCTCCACGAGCCCCCGAAGCCCGGGGACCTTCTGCCTCATTGTTTCTCTTCCTGTTTCCGTTTGACCAGCAAGGAAAGATGCTCGGAAATCAGGTGTTGCTTGAAGTTCTCCAGCCTCAGAGGGTGCGAGGGAGCTGTGGTAGGTGGAGGTGTCGAGGCTTGGGTGCCACTGCCTCCTTACCTGGGCACTCCAGCAGCCACCTGGATCCCGTGAGCCTCAGTTTGCCCATCTGTGGAATGGGAGACATGATAGCAGCTGTCTCGTAGGATGTGTGGAGACTGCATGGTTGGTGCATTTGCTGCTGCTGCTGTCAGTGTGGTTATCGTAGGGACTTAGAAGTCTGTGAAATGTATGATTCCATGGGAGACCAGCCTTCACTGGTATTACAGACTTTCTGTGTTTGTATTGTACGTATTTGTATATATATTAATACCTCTTTTATGTGCATAACATGTATTTACTCTGGACACGCTTCAGTATCAGATAAAGAGAAGGATAGGGACGTTTCTCTGTTGTGCTGCTGAAATCACAGCTTTTTTTTTTTTTTTTTTTTTTTTTTGTGGGACCGGGCCCCCCCTCTTTT